GAAATTTTCAAATGTAATTTGAGACATTTTAAAACCTGTTCAGAAAGCTTTTAGTCTTTATACCAAGCAACAGAGGTAATTGTTCAGGAAGAGGTTATAGAAGCTGTTCAGCAGAGGTTTTTGGCTTCCGTGCTTCTGAGATTATAATGTTTATTGCAATGTGTGAAATCCCCTGGTCTGGGCCACATGATGGTGCTTTTAGCTCTGTCAGCATTAACCAACTGCCCCAATCTGATCTTTAAAATCAGAATTTGATTTTTAACATTTGACCTTCATTCTTCGACTTAACTCCTGATTTCTTAGGTTATAATTCAAGAAACTTTCCTCCATCAAAGACGTGTCAGAGCCTACATTCAACCACATAGGATTTATAAATGCAACCATGTGACTACCTAAATGAGAACGTAGTCTCGGAGCATTAAAACTGTATGTGGTCTGTTTCTAGCCACCAAGTGGGTGAAAATTTTCTAACTAACAATATGAGAAGCAACAGACTGCGTCATTACATGGGCCATCTAGGTCAATGTTTTGTCTCTGACAGGGCATCAGGAGACATTTTATGAAAAGCACTACTGCTCTCCATGATGTTAAGGATATACGCCAGATATTTTTTTCATAGTTTAACAATAAAAACAAGGGATTAGAAAACCTTCAAGGTCCTTTCTGACTCCAAAGTCTCCATAGAAATATGAAGCTAGAACTCATGAATTTGTTTATTTCCTAAATCTATTAATACATCTGTACTAGGGAGGTAATGAAGTAGAGGCTTACTACTAAGTATGATATAAAGTAATACAAGTTTTAAGGAACACTACTAGGCTTTAGTATTCCAGAATCTGGTTGAATAAGTTTATATTAGCTTTTACAGTAATGCAAGAAAGATCAAACTGAGTCAAATTCAATATTCTATTCCCAAATGTATGTAAGATCATGGTGTACCTAAGATGTCAACTTCACTCTGTATATTTTTACCAAAAACAAAAATACTACAAAAATAAACAAGTAAAAGGGAAAGGAGAGAGCGGGGGGAGGGGAAAATGTCAACTACAAATTATTTAAGATATGCCCTAAAACATCCCTGGTTTTTTTTCATAACTTAGAGACTCTGATCTAATCCTTTATAGGACATTATAGACTGAAGAATTAAAATTATTTAAGTCAGTAACTTGTATTCTAAATTGTTAAATGAGACACATTTATACTACCTAGGAGCCCTGGTGGTGCAGTGGTTAAGAACTCAGGCTGCTAACCAAAAGGTCGGCAGTTTGAATCCACCAGCCGCTCCTTGGAAACCTTATGGGGCAGTTCTGCTCTGTCCTATAGGGTTCCTACAAGTTGGAATCGACTTGATAGCAACAACTTTTGTTTCTAGGTAGTATAAGCTCCCCTAGTCTTAAGCTAGTAATGTAAGTTTTCTTCATTTTTATAAATAACACATTTCCTGATTTAGAAAACTTCTGCTATGAAAGCAATGACTAAAGACACAATTGGCTTAGAACTGTGAAAGTATTAAAACTAAAGAGAACTTTAAGGTTAAATGCAACATTCTACTTTACAAACAAAGAAATTCAAGCCTAGTGTAGATAAGAGGCTTTCCTACAGTAAAAACAACAACTAAAACCTGAGCTAAATCCAACGAAATAGTGCTCTTCAAATTCCAGATCAGGACCCAACAATTTAGTGGGCTGCTACCAGCATTTTTAACAAGCAATAGAGTAGAAAATACCAGGGGCATTTCATGTAGTGAGGATAAATATCGTTTCATAAAGCTTTTGTTTCTATTAGATACATGTGTGTATTGGGTCACAACGTAAAATGTATTTATTATAGTGGTCAAAAAGTTTGAAAGTCATTGCAATAAGATGTTTAATTCTTTCAATGGATTTTTAAATTAATTCTTATTTTAAAATGTAACATTATGATGTAATTAATTATGATGGCCTACTTTAAGCTAATAAAAATATCTCTGCATTAAATACTAAATGTTGCCATTAAAAAAAGCCATTTTCCCTTTTAAAGATTGGTTCTGAATGTTGTACTCCATACCATATATGAACAGACTTTCTTTAAAATATTACACATTTCTGTAGAGCTTATATGTATAATAGCTAAACAAGCTTTTTAAAAGAATACTGAATTCTAGAATTCTGATCATTAGCACACATAAAAAAATCTAACATTGTCTGTGAAAAACCAGTGACCTCTAGTGGATTCATTAAATAACTGACATAATCTCTGCCCCTAAAATTTAGAAATTAAGGTAACACTGATGTATTCAGATCTAAAACATACTGATATGCTGTCAATACTTACATTGACAAGTATATATAACTAAAAACTACAGTTACACTATATGCAATGGGGCAAATACATATTTTATATTCACTGCTTTCTTTGAATCAAGTGGACTATGATGAATAGAATCCTGGCCTAGTTCAGAGTTTGTCATTAGCTTAAACACTGCACTTAATCCTTTTGAGCTTGTTTGATAGAATTGGACTTAATTATCTCCAAAGATCCTTTCAGCACTTAGGATTCTTTCTTCTTCAATTCATTTTATACACAAATGCCAGATTAAATTTTGCTCCCTAGTACTTGAGGATATACCAAACTTCGTCTGACCCCTTGTCACTTACCTATCATTGTCTTCTATTTTTTCCCAACATACATCCTTTATTTTAAGTGAGCAAAATGTTCTCACTCTCTACTTCTAACACCTCAACCCACTCTCGTGAGTTTATTTTCTCACCTTTGCTTACATTTTCTCATTATAAAATGCTCCATCTTCACTAATTTACAGACCCTCGTTAGAGTCAGTACAAAATTGTTTCATACATATGTATTTGTCTTGCCATCCCAATGAGATTTAAAGATCCTTAAACTCACAGCTTAGGTTTTATACTTTTGTGTGCTGAAGTCTACAAGGTACTTAAGCACATACTACACACTTTGAGTGTCAACTAAATTGATTAGTTCAGATTAAGGACACGAAGGCCAGTTTCATCATTCTTTTTTAGTAAGGCAGGAAAGGGCTTATAGATAAGGAAGAAAGTCAAGAACCACAAATATAAAGTGACAGGGCTTCATGTTTTAGGGAAAAGTGGGCATTTCAAACATAAAACGGTGAGATTTTAGGAGATTAGAGAAAAGAGAAGTTTTAAATCAGCTAAAGAAGTATCAGATAACTATGTTTGAAAAAAAAATAATAACAGGAATGGTGGTTTGGTAAACGGTTTTGAAGCAGCTGAAGCAGATACGAGGATGGCGTAAGGGGCTAAAATTAAGAAGTAGAGAAGATATCTTTGGAAGCAAAGTTATAACTTAAGGAAATACTGGTCTAATAGTGGGGAATGGGTAACTTCTCCCTTAGAGTGAAAGCTATTCAGGCCTGGGAAAATGTGGCTGTTGTAGGGATGAAGAGGCGATGTGCAGCTATGGTGAAAGAAACATCAAGAATGGAGAAAAAGAGTGGTAAGTAAAAAGGTATTCTTAAATTCCCAATCACCTCGGACAGTCACAATCTTTAATCCTCCAAACAAGAAAGGGGAGAAATGATGAACATTTTAGTCTTCATTATATTTAATTCAATTAACAAAAGCTATAGGGTAGTATGCTTTACATATTCTAAATAACACAGGATTGGACTGGCAGGCAAAGGTATGTGTCAATACACTGGAAGCTAGTTGAACTCAGCGCATGTAATATCACCTCATCCATCAGAAAAGACTTCATTGAAGGCTTTTTCTTCCCCCTGAGGCACAGCTCTTTAATTAACATGCATCTCATTACACTTAAGTCATTAAGTTTATTTGCTTAGATCCTCACTATCTTACCATAAATTACACTGCCTTGTGTTGTTATGGAGCCTTTGTGGTGTAGTGGTTAAGAATTTGGCTGCTATCCAAAGGGTCAGCAGTTGGAATTCACCAGCCACTCTTTGGAAACCCTATGGGGCAGTTCTACTCTGTTCTATAGGGTAGCTATTAGTCGGAATAGACTAGACGACAACTGGTTTGGGGGGTGTGTGTGTGTGTGTGGGTATTTGTGTGTGGGTGTGGGTGTATTGTTATAAGGAAGCCCTAGTGGCCCAGTGGTTAAGCACTCGCCTGCTAACCAAAAGGTCAGTGGTTCATACTCACCAGCTGTTCCACAGGAGAAAGACATGGCAGTCTGTTTCTGTAAAGATTACTGCCTTCGAAACCCTATGGTGCAGTTCTACTCTGTCCTATAGGGTTGCTATGAGTCGGAATTGGCTCAAAGGCAACGAGTTTTGTTATTATAATACCCTCTATCAAACATGATGGGGAATTATGTCATTAATTTAGTCCTTTGTTTGGAATCCCTAGTTAATATAGTTTTAACTACCATAACAATAATTTGTGACCTTTTAATATCATGCCATTTCACTCTCAATAATAAAATTTCTCCAGAATTCAGCATTAGTAAAATGTTGCAAATGTTTAACCATTACCCAAGAAATGAAACCTTAGCATTCCCCATAAACTATTTTTGTAAAAACATGACTTTAAATTGGCTTTCCCTAAATTAATAAACTACTGTACTGATTTTAACAAAGATCAAAAGAAATTAATAACTTGAACTTTTTAATCTTACTATATAGTTTCTATTATTAACAACACAGTGAGTTTGGTTGTATCCTAAGATCCAATATCTTCTGAAAAACTTAATATCCTTATTCTAGGATTTTTAGATTAACAGGATTCATAGATACAACTGTCATAGCAGGAAGTTAGAGATGAAGTTGAGGTTTTATAATTAAAGCTAAAACAGTAAATAGTAAGCAGATAATTAACATTTGTACGTATAAATTTTCTGACTTTTAAGTGCAAAATATTTTATTGTTATGCTTAAAAAATAACCATTTCCCACAACTAAAGTGTGTACAGTGGTAACATTCTACAGAAAACTAGACTTACTCTCTACATATCTCAAGAAATTATTAAAATATGAGTAAATGTATACATAATGATTTAAATTACCTTTCTTCTTCTCGAATCCATACTGGAGTTTTGGGAATTTGTGCTTGAAAAAACTTAGATGCTTTATAACAAAAATTGCTGCAAAAAGACTAAAAAAGAAAATGTAAAAAACTAGTAAATTATTTATTCTTATTATGAAACATAACTGATGTACAGAAGACAGTATAAAAAGAAATGTTTTATAAATAAATAAAATGAAAAACCATGACTCTATCACCCAAGGTAAGAAATAAGTACCTTTGAAAGCCCGTGTGCCCCTCCTCAACTGCATCAATCTTCACATCCCCAGTGATAATAACCACTATCCTAAAGTTTGTGTTAATCATTCCCTTGCTTTTCTTTAATTTTATCACCTATATACACATATCCTTATAAAATATACCATTCAGTTTTGCCCATTTTTTAAACTTTATCTAAATGGAATCTTATTGTTTTGTATTTTTATCTTGCTTCTTTTGTTTAACACAATGCTTTTGGGATTCATTCATGTAGTTGTAGTTTATTCATTTTCACTGTGTATTACATTTCACTGTGTAAGTATGTTACAAATGAGTTATTTCCAATTTTCTAGCTATGAATGTTCTTATACGTATATACTGGTGCACATAGGTAAGAATTTCTCTAGGGTGTATACCAAGGAATAGAAAGGTTTGGTTATAAAGTATGTGCAAGTTCAGCTTTACAGATAATGCCAGTTTCTCAAAAATGTTGTACAAACGTTTACTCCCACAGCAGCATAAAAAGAATACCTAATAGTGTAAGATTTTTATAATTTTGCTAACCTAGGGGGCTGTGAAAACGTAAATCAATGTGTTTTTATTTGCTATTTGCCTGATTATTAATCAGGTTGAGTGTCTTTTCATAAATTCATTGGCCATTTAAGCTCCTTCTGTAAAATATCCAAGTTTTTGTCCATTCTTCTATTAGGTTGTTGGTCTTTTTCTTATAGATTATATATTCTGGATTTGAATCTGTGATATCTGAGTTACATGTGAGAAATATAACTTAAAACTTGTGGCTTATCTTTTCACTTTTTTGGAAACTTCTGGTGAAAAAGTTTTAATGTAGACAAATTTATCGATTTTTTCTCTATGGTCTATAATTTTCTGTCTTACTTAAGAAATCCTTCTCTACACCAAGTTTATAAAGGTATTCTCCCATACTGTATTTGAAAAATCTTGCCTTTTACATTTAGGTCTTTAATCTACCTAAAATTGATCTTTATATGTGAACTGAGGGAGGAATCAATTTCCATGTTTTCTGTATGGATAACTAATTGTGGCAGCAGCACCATTTATTGAAAAATCCATACTTTCTCCACTGATTTGCAATACTTCTATTGTCCTATATCAAGTGTGAGTCTGTTTCTGGCTCTCTCTTCTATTCATGATCTATTTGTCCATTCCTGTGCCAACATGCGCTTTCAACTTTTAAATGTTCAATTTAAATAGTACATAAAGTTTAGGCAAGAGTTTTAAAATCCTATTTTAAAATAAATGTGAAATTTTAGTACAGTTCTTTTCCAAAAAGCAAGACTTTAAAAGGCTATTTTTATAATTTTATTTAGTTTAATATTAAAAATTAACTGCCACACTGAAAAGAACCTATAAACTTACCTTTCTTTCAGTAATATCATAGACTTTATTGGTTTTGGTAGAAATTCTGTATTTCTGTTTTGGTACCTAAAGAAAAGAAAGTACAGTTTACAAAAAAAATTCAGATCATAAACATGAGCTTTATGTTACCAGATGAAGTCATCTATATATCACCTCTATGACCAATCCATGTCATTAATTCATGACCTCAGGTTTAATTTCTTATTCTTTCTACAAATTATTTTGCTAAATATAAAAATAAAAGCTTATATTAAAAAAAAAAAGTTCACTTACAATTCCCAGCTTCTTCTGACATATTGGATAACCACAGAGTTTGCTAATAGTACGCTCATCCACAACATCACTGTAGTGAGCAGACGTGATGAACATCCCCTACAATGAAACAAAGGGGCATTTCTCCTCAGATTAATGGAAAAGTTCATTTATCAGCTCTCTAAGCCTCATCTATCTCATCTGAAAACAGGAATAATACTAGTACCGACCTCATAGGTTTGAAGCTAGAATTAGAGGAGGAAGTAAAGGAAAAACAGAGAAGTATCTGACACATAGTAAGGACTCAATAAACATTAGCTATTATTTTAAAAAGACTTCTTTGTAAATCATATAGTTTATGAAATAATTCTGAAGCAGGAGGAAGAAGTGCTAAAGTGATTGCTGTATCAAAGCGAAATGATGAAAAATTATTTTTGCAATAGAATCTCTGCTTTTTAAATTTCCTTTCCTTTCTCCTCTTACGCATTATGAAGGCATAAAAAAAACCATTCAAAATTTTAATGTTTTAAACGTTAAGGAAAAAAACTAACTTTAATGCAGATTATAGCTCTCTGCATGTGTTAAGTCATAAATGATCCATATTTCAGGTTTTTAAAATATCAAAATTAAGACAATTACACTAACAAAAATAATCTTTTGTTACTTAAAATAGCACAACATGCAGAATACAAAAAAAAGTGCATTTTGATCACTAGTGGAAGGTGAGGAAAATCAAGGGAGATTAGCAGACTGGTTAAAAGAACTAAGATAAAGTGGTAAAATAAACGTTGTTTTTCACGAGTGCATTTTAAAGTCATTATACAATAGGTGATTACACCCTCTCCTCAGTTATCGACATGGTTAGGTTTCAAAGACCAGGTCGTTATGTGAAATTGGCATTATGCAAAAATGGAGGATGACAACATCACAGCCAAAATGGAGGATGACTACATCATTATATAACTGTCAAATAATATGATTACATAACTGCCAAATTACATCATCACATAACTGCCAAACCACTGAGTATCATGACCCAGCCAAGCTGACACATAACCTTAACCATCAAAGCCGGTGTTACTCTTGCCTTGTACCTTGGCATTCATTACTGCCAGACATATGTTGTTACTACACAAAATAGTGCGTAGTATACTTTTTACTATTGTCATAAATGCAAAATGTCGGAAACGAGATAGTCGATAAGTGACGAGAAGGTGTATTTTCAAATGCATGTTGCCTGTATCTAATGACGAGAATAGATTCAAAGCTTTTAATGATGCAAAGGAGTTTCAAGTTATACAGATTTAAAGATCTTATGCTACAAAAATAATAATTTGCCAACTTAATACATACACAGTCCTTCAGGAATTCTTCTGTAATATTCTCTTCTAAAAGCTGTTCAACAATACATAGAGCTTTTCTCTCAAATTCAATCTTTTTTCTCACAGCTGCTTCTAGTTCTGCTTTCCTAAAGTTTTAATGAAAAAGTTATTCTATGTATAAGCTATATCATGGCCAATTCCTCATTTTTTTAAATATAAAATTAACGTAACTCCCTATTTTGCCATTGAAGTTTACTTTTTTTAACGCTATTATTAATCCAATAATTTTCAAAAAGGAAACAAGCTACTTGTTGAAATGTATACACAGAAGCCTGCCATAACAACATGATTATTTGCAGGGCTCAGAACACAAGAAAGCATTTAGGGGTACCTATGAGTCAGAATCAACTTGATGGCAACAGGTTTGGTTTTTCTGGTTTTTTTATAGAAAAGAAAATGAGGTGAAATATTTTTGCTGGTTAGGGTTTATACTCTATCACTCCTATGTGTGTATGTAAAAAGGGAGGCTTTTCCTAACAAGGAGTCAGAAACCAGAATAAAGAGGAAAAAGACTTCAGCAATTCCCGTAAATAAAAATTTCTTTGTGTCAAGTCTCAAAAGTTGACTAATGGCTCAGTTTGACAGGACAGAGTCATATTTGCAAAGAGGTGTTTACCTACTTTTGTTGTAAAGGCTTATTAAACAACTATATTGCTATGAATATGTGGTTTAGAAAAATAAAAATTTTCCTAGGAAGGGCTGATCTTTATCCTGATACCAGTGGGAGGACTCTATCACTATTGCTGGCTCCCATTTATCATGAAACATAAAAGCAAAGGCTATCTGATCATAATGTAATCTAATGTAAACTGTAATATAATTACCTCCCATAATGTAATACAATGTAATCAATCAGTTGAAAATGGCATTTCCCTATGCTGTGTTCTGTCTCCAGCATATACATAAGTATTTTGGCACAACTTTACTTTGCATTCCTCCCATCGCCTGATCTACCACCCAAAAAATCACGTAAGCCAAGTCCTTGAAGTAAATCTGTGTGGGTGTGTATAAGACACACATACATTCATACCCTTACACACACACACACACACACACACACACACACACACACACTGATACATGTGTGTGTATGCACACATATTACATATTTTTCACTGGTTCTGTTTCTCTAGAGAACCCTAAGACAGTTCCTCAAATGATTTTAGTGTGCAAAAGGTTGAAAATCACTGCCCTAAGACCAAAGATATCAACCATCTTGGTGACTTATTTGCTTTTTTCCCGCCCTGGTTTCAATTTGCCTATCTAAACCTACCTTTCCTAACTTCCTGGACCCTCACTTGGCTCTACTAGCTTAAACCTAGAATGTACTCACCTTTTCACCCTATCTTCATGGATTTCTAAGACTTTAGACTCTAATTCCTTGCTTAGAGCAGTATGTTTTTCAAAAAAAAAAGAGAATTTGGAGGACTGACCCAGTATTGCCAACAATTTATTTTGACAAATGTTTTGTTAGGTGCTGTCAAGTCTAACCAGAACAAAGGAACTGTCAACACCACCAAAAAAAAAAAAAAAACCAAAATGACAGCAGTAAATTCATACCTATTAATAATTACACTGAATGTAAATGGCCTAAATGCACCAGTAAAGAGACAGAGAGTGGCAGAACGGATTTAAAAAAAAAAAAAAAAAAAAACCAAGATCTGTCTATATGCTGTTTACAAAAGACACACCTCAGACACAAAGATATAAACTAAAACTCAATGGATGGAAAAAAATATACCAAGCAAACAATAACCAAAAAAGAGCAGGGGGAGCAATATTAATCTCTGATAAAACAGACTTTAAAGTAAAATCCACTATAAAGCACAAAGAAGGGCACTATATAATGATTAAAGGGTCAACATACCAGAAGAACATAACCATAATAAACATATACGTACCCAAGGACAGGGCTCCAAAATACATAAAACAAACTCTAATAGCATTGAAAAGAGAAACAGACAGCTCCACAATAATAGTGGGAAACTTCAACTCACCACTTTCAGTGAAAGACAGACCATCTAGAAAGAAACACAATAAAGATACAGAAAATCTAAATGCCACAATCAATCAACTTGATATCAGAGATATATACAGAACACTCCACCCAAGAGCAGCCAAGTATACATTCTTTTCCAATGCACATGGAACATTCTCCAGAATAGAACACATTTTGGTCACAAAGCAAGCCTTAACAAAATCCAAAACATGAAAATAATAAAAAGTATCTTCTCTGATCATAATGCTATAAGAGTAGAAATCAGTAACAGAAACAGTAAGGAAAAAAAAGCAAATAAATGAAAACTGAACACCTTGCTTAACAACTACTGAGTTATAGAAGAAATCAAGGATGGAATAAAGAAATCACAGAATCAAACGAGAATGAAAACACAACTTACCAAAACCTGTGGGCCACAGCAAAAGCAGTGGTTAGAGGTCAATTTACAGCAATAAACGTACACATCAAAAAAAGAAGGGCCAAAATCAAAATGTTAATGCTACTACTCAAACAAATAGAAAGAAAGCAGCAAAAGAAGCCCTCAGGCACCAGAAGAAAGGAGATAATGAAGATCAGAGCAGAAATAAATGAAATAAAGAATAGAAAAACAATTGAAAAATCAAGAAGACCAAAAGTTGGCTCTCTGAAAAGACTGACAAAAATCAACAAACCACTGGCCAAACTGACAAAAGAAAAACAGGATAGGAAGCAAATCACCTGAATAAGAAATGAGACGGGTGATACCACAACAGACTCAACTGAAAAAGGACCATAACAGAATACTACAAAAAATTGTACTCTAACAAATTTGAAAACCTAGAGGAAATGGACAAATTCCTAGAAACACACTACCTAACTAAACTAACACAAACCGAGGTAGAAAAACTGAACAAACCCATAACAAAATAAGAGATTGAAGAGATAGTAAATAAACTCCCAATAAAAAAAAGCCCTGGTCTGGACGGCTTCACTGGAGAATTCTACCAAACTTTCAAAGAGCTAACACCAATACTACTAAAGCTATTTCAGAGCACAGAAAAGGAAGGAATACTTGCAAACTTATTCTATGAAGCCAGCGTAACTCTGATACCAAAGCCAGGCAAAAACACCACACAAAAAAGAAAACTACAGAACAATATCCCTTATGAACGTAGATGCAAAAATCCTCAACAAAATTCCAGCCAGTGGAATTCAACAACATATCAAAAAAATAATTCATCATGACCAAGTGGGATTCATACCAGGTATGCAGGGATGTTTCAACATCAGAAAATCAATCAACTAATACACCACATAAATAATACAAAAGAAAAGAACCACAAGATCTTATCAATTGATGCACAAAAGGCATTAGACAAAGTTCAACATCCATTCCTGGTAAAAACTCTAGCAAAATAGGCATAGAAGGGAAATTCCTCAACATAATAAAGGACATTTATACAAACCAACAACCAACATCGTTTTAAATGGAGAGAGACTGAAAGCATTCCCCTTGAGAACAGGAACCAGACAAGAATGCCCTTTACCACCAGTCTTATTCAACATTGTGCTGGAGGTCCTAGCTAGAGCAATAAGCAAGAAAAAGAAATAAAGGGTATCCGAATTGGTAAGGAAGAGGTGAAATTATTCCTATTTGCAGATGGTATGATCTTATACACAGAAAACCCCAAAGAATCCACAAGAAAGCTACTGGAACCAATAGAAAATTTCAGCAAAGTAATAGGATACAAGATTAACATAAAAAAAATCAGTAGGATTCCTCTACATCAACAAAGAGAACTTCAAAAAGGAAATCAACAAATCAATACCGTTTACAATAGTCCCCAAGAAGATAAAGTACTCAGGAATAAATTAACCAGGGACATAAAAGATCTATACAAAGAAAACTACAAAACACTACTTCAATAAACCAAAAGAGACCTATATAAGTGGAAAAACATACCATGTTCATGGATAGGAAGACTCAACATTGAGAAAATGTCAATTCTACCCAAAGTGATCTATAGATACAATGCAATCCCAATCAAAATTCCAACAGCAGTTTTAACTAGATAGAGAAACAAATCACCAACTTTATATGGGAAGGGAAGAGGCCCCAGATAAGTAAAGCATTACTCAAGAAGAAGAACAAAGTGGGAGGCCTCACACTACCTGATTTTAGAACCTATTATACCACCATGGTAGTCAAAACAGCCTTGTACTGGTACAACTGACACATAGACCAATGGAACAGAACTGAGAACCCAGACATAAATCCATCCACCTATGGGCAGTTGATATTTGACAAAGGCCGAAAGCCTGTTAAATAGGGAAAAGACAGTCTCTTTAACAAATGGTGCTGGCAAAACTGGATACCCATCTGTAAAAAAAAAAAAATGAAACAGGTCCCATACCTCACACTACAAACAAAAACTAACTCAAAATGGATCAAAGACCTAAATATAAAATCTAAAACCATAAAGATCATGGAAGAAAAAATAGGGACAATGCTACACGGCATAAATAGCATACAAACCATAAGGAACAATGCAAAAACACCAGAAGAGAAACGAGATAACTGGGAGCTCCTAAAAATCAAACACTTAGCTCATCAAACAACTTCACCAAAAAATTTTGGCTACAACATATCCGATAAGGGTTTAATCTCTAAAATCTACAAAATACTGAGACACCTCAACAACAAAAAGACAAAATTCAATTAAAAAATGGGCAAAGGATAAAGGATATGAACGGACACCTCACCAAAGACATTCATGCAGCTAACAGACACACAAGGAAATGCTCGCAATCACTAACCATTAGAGAAATGGAAATCAAAACTTCACTGAGATTCCATCTCACCCTGACAATACTGGCACTAATCCAAAAAACACAAAATAACAAATGTTAGAGAGGTTGTGGGAAGATAGGAAATCTTATGCACTGCTGGTGGGAAGGTAAAACGGTACAACCACTTTGGAAAATGGTTTGTTGCTTCCTTAAAAAGCTAGAAATAGAAATACCATATGATCTAGCAATTCCACTTGTAGGAATATAACCTAGAGAAATAAAGTCATCACACGAATAGACATAAGCACACCCATGTTTACTGCAGTACTATTCACAACCGCAAAAAGACAGAAACAACCTAAATGCCCAACAACAGATAAACAGATAAACAAATGATGGTGCATACACACAATGGAATACTATACAACCAATAAAGAACAATGATGACTTTGTGAAACATCTCACAACATGGATGAATCTGGAGGGCATTATGCTGAGTGAAATAAGTCAGTCACAAAAGGACACGTATCGTATGAGACCACTATTATAAGAACACTAGAAAAGGTTTACACACAGAAAAGAGCATTTTTGATGGTTACAAGGGTGGAGAGATTGAGAAAGAGGAAGCCACTAAGTAGATAGTAGACAAGAGTCAACTTCAGTGAAGGGAACGACAACACACAATATAGGGGAAGTCAGCACAACTAGACCAAAGCAACAGCACAGAAGTTTCCTAGACACATCCTAACACTTCAAGGGACCGAGTAACTGGGGCTGAGGCCTGGGGACCATAGTCTCGGGGGACATCTAGGTCAACAGGCATGACAAAGTTTATAAAGAAAATGTTCTACATCCCACTTTGGTGAGTAGCATCTGGGGTCTTATAAGCCTACGAGCAGCCATCTAAGATTCATCTATTGGTCCCATACCACTGGAGCAAAGGAGAATGAAGAAAACCAGACACAAGGAAAATATTAGCCCAAAGGACTAAAGGACCACATGAACCAGAGATTCCACCAGTCTGAGACCAGAAGAACTAGATGGTGCCTGGCTACCACTGACTGCCCTGATAGGGATCACAACAGAGAGTCCTGGGCAGAGCAGGAGAAAAATGTAGAACAGAATTCAAGCTCATATGAAAAGATCAGACTTACTGGTCTGACAGAGACTAGAGGAACCCCTGAAACTATGGCTCCCAGATGCTCCGCTAACCCATAACTGAAACCATTCCTGAAGCCCATTTTTCAGACAAAGATTAGACTGGCCTATAAAACCAAAAATAACACACGTGAGGAACATGCTTCTTCGTTCAATCAAATACACAAGACCAAATGGGCAGCTCCTGCCCAAAAGCAGGAAGAGAAGGCAGGATTGGAGAGGAACTGGACGAACAGACACATGGAACCTGGGACGGAAAAAATGGGGAGCATGCTGTCTCATTGTTGGACTGCAAGCAATGTCACAAAACAACATGTGTATAAATTTTTGAATGAGAAATTAACTTGAGCTGTAAACTTTCACCTAAAACACAATAAAAAGAAAAAAAAAAGAAATCAAACGACACATTGCATTGGGCAAATGTGCAGCAGAAGACTTCTTTGAAGTGTTAAAAAGCAAAGATGTCACTTTGAGGGCTTTGGTGCCTGATTCAAGCCATGGTATTTTCAATCACCTCATATGCATGCAATGAATAAGGAAGACTGAAGAAGAACTCATGCCTTTGAATTATGGTGTTGGCAGAGAACACTGAATATACCATGGACTGCCAGAAGAACAAAGAAATCTGTCTTGGAAGAAGTACAGCCAGAATGCTCCTGAGGAGCAAGGATGGGTGAAACTTTGTCTCATGTACTTTATACCTGTAATCAAGAAGGACCAGTCCCTGGAGGACATTATGCTTGGTAAAGGAGAGGGTCAGTGAAAAGAGGAGGACCCTCAAAGAGATGGATTAACACAGTTGCTGCAACAGTGGCCTCAAACAACAGTGATTGTGTGCAGGAGGACCAGGCAGTGTTTTGTTGTGTTGTACATGGGGTCACTATGAGTCACAACTGACTGGATGGCACCTGAGAAACAACAACGGTAGTTTTACTACAACTACTACTACTGCTAATACTAAACAACAGACAGGTTATGACGCTAACTCAGATTTTAATGTATTTCATTCCCCAGAACTCAGATTCAATAGTATCTTATATTACTTTCATATGTGGTCAATAGATGAGGTAACCTTAAACCATTCCAAGTACTCTGGACTAAGAATTATCCTCTAGAATGAAATTAGAAAGAATTAAAGTATAATAGAAAAGTCATCTATAGAAATGATTCACCTAAAAAAAAATTATTAACAAATAGGTAGCTATTTGGTAAGTACTGAGTCAGCTCTATCTAAATTCAAGTAATATCAGGTATACTGGGGCAGGGGGAGAGGAAGTATCTGGATCTGAGGACTGAACCTTAATATCTCTTGGACAACTCTTGAGATATCTATAAATAGCAATCCTACACCTCCCAAGCCCTCTCTTCCCTAGCTTAAACATCCCAACTCCTTCAACCATTCTTCATGGCTATGCTTTTTAATTGTAAAATAAAATACAGAAAATTCCAAACGTTATTATAAGGAAAACACCTTTGTAACTACTACCAAGGTCAAGAAACACACCTTTGCTAGCCAACCCAGAAACCTCTCCCTCCTTCTGATTCTTATTGTAATAATCATTTTGAGTTATTTTTATAGTTGTCTTATCCAAGTTATATCCCTAGACATTATAGCTTAGTCTTGTCCATTTTCTTTAATTTGATATGTCTTAATCTTTTAAGCTACAGGTTCTGTCTCCATCTTTTTCTTTTTTGTAACAATTTATCCATTGAAGAACCTGGGACATCTGACCTATAGAATCTGGATTTTGCTCATAGCATGCTCACAGTGCCATTAAATACGTTCCTCTCCATTTCCTGCATACTAGTAACTGGATTCAGAGTTTGATCAGAATCATCCCTTTGGTAAGACTATAAGTGGTGTTAATTCTCTCATCAGGAAACTAACCAGTTGCCATTAAGTTGATTCTGACTCTTGGCGACCCCATGCGTGACCTTTCACAATCAGATTGCCTCCGGGAGCGTTTGAACCTCCAACCTTTCAGTTAGTAGTTGAAAGCTTAACCATTTGTGCCACCTAGGGAGCTAGGAGTTGCCAAATAGTGACATTCTGATTCTACCATTTCTTTTTCATTTTTTAGTTGCAATACACTTATAAAGAACCACTTCCCCTCAACAACCATTTGGCTGCCTCCACGGATTTTTAACTGTATCATCATCCTGGGTGATACGCTCAAAATACATTTCAGCTAATCTATATTCCTCAAAAATGAATATAATCTCAGGTTTGTGGTCAGATCAGTGTTGGGCAGAGTTGCAAATTATCACCATTACCAACATTAATTAAACTTTACTCTTGCAATATTTCCTAAAGCCCAGCCAGTAAAATCATGTTGTTCCACAGGGAAAACTCTCCGAAACAGAGCTCAGATCCATCTACTTTCTCCATTTCCAGGTGACCACCATTTCTGACTTCTTAAAACTACTTTATAACTTAAATTCCATCATTTGTTACTTAACGTTTTCTCATTTGCACTTCCACCAAAAATCTAAATTACTCATTTACCAACCAGGTGCTGTCTGAACAGGATCCTGCCTCTAACCTCTTCCTATACCCCTTTCCTCCCTTGATCAGAATGCTGCACAGCACTCTAGCCATTTCTCCTTTTTTTCTCTCTCTCTCTTTTTTATTTCTTTTAACTCTGCAAAACAACCTTTTTTTTTTTTTACAAAGACCAATAATGGGTAGCACAAAGTGAAAACACTATCCCTTCCAAAAGATTCACATATAAATTGTGTATAAGATTAGAATAATTCTAAATAAAAACCAGTGGATCCCCTCCTTCCTCTCCTAAGCCACCTTCATAGTTTTACATTTCAACTTTCAGACTTAATTTCTCTCACTTTTAAGGATGATTAGCAAGCTGTGATCTGTACCAGATGGGGTAAGTCAGCACAAGATTGTCACTGAAAGCCAGGCCCTTGAGAACTAGGCTGGGGGGGAACCTTGAGAATTTGCTGGCCCCAACACACATCAGGGTTTGTGTCCAACTCTTCGGCCCTCAGAGACTCTCTAGTGAGGAAGGCCCAAGCCACGTGACAGCAAGCAACGCTTCCACAAACCAAAGGATGCATGTCTCCTTTCTTTGAACTGGTCAAGCTCTTTCTTGTCTCAGGGCCTTCAAACATATTGTCACCCCTGGCTAAAAGTCATTCCTCACTAGTCTTTGTCTGGTTAACTCCTACTTAGCCTTCAGGTATCAGTTTAATTATTACTTCTTCAGAGAAGCCTTTCCCTGAACCCCCACAGCCACTCTTTCCACCAGCTCCCAGCTAAAATGTACTCCCATTATTAGTTGTTCCTCATAACATCATAGTCTTTTCCTCTACCACTTACCACGATTTGTAATCATACGTTTACTTGCGATAATTTAATTGGTGTCTCTCTCTTCCATTAGACAAGAACTACGGTGTATCATTCTGTTCAACATCATATTCTTAGGGCCTAATACAGGTCTGGCACATCTTACACTCAGTAGATAACCTTTGAATGAATGAATGAGTGAAGACTAAAACCAACACAAGATTAGTGTGTCTTCATAGTGAGAAATTCTAGATATGTGTTTTAATCTTCTTCATAGGCAAGGCATATTCTAGAAATCTTTTGAGACAGGTGATAATATCTTGCTTTTTCACAATCCAAGAGATAGTGCAAGACAACTTTTTGATGAAAATCTGGAACTGATATAAACAAAGAACAGAAAAGACTTCTTGGAGTGATAAAACGAGAAGTTTGCACAGTAAGTCTCTGGCATAGCAATAAAGAGCGCATGTACCTGAAGAGGTGGAAAAGGAGTATCAGGTTAATTCAGGCATGTTTATTCTCATAAACATCTTTCTACAGATACTCATACCTTCATCAGCAGCCTAAAAATCTCTGGTTTAGTCTGGAACAGTCAATGTGAGAATTTATAGTGCTTCTCAGACTTCCACTTTCCCTCTTCTAATAATTTTCTCTACAGTAGTACCCATTATAGTTTTAAAAAATGGCTCACTTAATATGAGATAGGTAAGTGAATGCAGTTGTCCAAGAAGTTCTCATACCTCTTAGAAGCATCTTCTTGTTTGGAGGCTCTTGTGTGTTTGGTACCTACAATTAAAAAAAAAAAAAAAAGTAGGTCAAGTCTGCACAAACACATTAGACACAGGGCAGATTCCTGTCCAAATAACTCAAACTGTAGACCATCTTTTCCACACATTTCATTTCTAATCCTGTATGTAAACCAAAATCAAATGGGAAGAGAAAGTTTTTGTAAATTAATTATTCCCTAATTTTTCTCGGTTAAAATGTTATCCTTTGGGATTGAATTTTCTCATGTATCAGAGTTGCACGATCCCCCGTGGGATAACCATTAGGCACTGGGCTGCTAACCTTGACAGTTCGAACCCACCCAGCCTCTCCATGGGAGAAAGACCTGGCGATTTGCTTTTGTGAAGATTACAGCCAAGAAAACCCTATGGAAGCAGTTCTACTCTGTCACAAGGGGTAGAAAACGACTTGAGAGCACCCAATAACAACATCAGAATAGCTTACTTAAGCCCTTCTGAAAATCTGAGTTCTGGGGCAATCTTTTCCTGTCTCCTTCATGTTCGCCCTCTGGCTGGGGATAACGGGCGGGACTGACACCTCAAAGGACCAGAGAACCAAAGCAGCAGCACTTCTGTAGGAGACAGAGGGCTGGGGTCCGAGGTCAGCTGCGCACAGCTTGCCGTCGCTGCCCTGGGCACTTGCCCACCTCTGAGGCTGGGGTCAAACCACGCTGGAAAAAATCTTGGCACACTCATGTAAAAAGCGCTGGGGTCTGGACGGGAGAGCTTGCGCAGAAGGTGCAAGGACAAGGGTGGGAAGCTCTGGGCCTCCCGATGAGGAGACCCTCTCCCCTGGGGCAGCCTTTCGGGAGCGCCCCGCGCGCCTCCGTGTGGAACTCTGTTGGGGCTCAGGTGCTAGGACCCAAATGTGGCAAGAGCCCTTGTTCTTACCTGCGGCCTTAGAGTAGGCGCCCGGAGCCCGGGCCTTGCGGCCCGGCGAAAGCGGACCGACCCAGTCAGCCATAGGGGTGCGTCGTCAGAGGGGCGGACCGGCGCCGGCGTCTCTCCCCGAAGCCCCGCCCCCCTTACGTACGCGGGGCGGGGCCGAGAGAGCGGCCTGTGCGGCCCGTGGAGCGGAGGAGGGGACTTAGAGTGACGGGAGGCTGGGCGGGTAAGTGGACGTGCTAGGGGATCCCGGGCAGCTGGGACTCGCGGGTGGGTCGTGAGGTGCAGAGCTCCCTGCGCCGCGGGCACACGGGCCCGCCAGGTGGTGGGGGCCGAACGCCAAGGCGAGCAGGAATCGGAGAAATGGCTTCCCTTGGATGCTGCCAGCACGCGCGCTGCAGTTTAATCCGCCCTCGAGCGCGCCGCCGTGTGGACCAGGAGGACCCGTGCCCCTACTGTGGGGCTGGGGCCGGGCCTTCCTGCCGGGGGAAACGATGGTCTGCGGGACCGCCGGCTGCCTGGTCTCCAAGTTATAAAGTGATTACGGTGACCAAATTGATTATTTTGGCGACTGCAACTCTTAGAGAGAGCAGTGTCACCGCCAATACTTGGGATGGGGGCCATCTGATCCTTTACTTCCTTTGGATGAGTTAGATGTGTTGCACTCAAAATTTTTGTCGAGCGGGACATTCAAAAAGAAAAAATGCCCAAATAATTATAACTTGGATTTCAGGCCCACCTTTTGGGAATTTTTTCAAAAAAGAAAATTTCACCTTATTTAAAAAACCGTTTATATAGTTCATATTTGCCCTACTTCTTGGGTGTGCTCTAGAGGAGTTTTGTTTTGTTTTTCATCTTTCAAAACAGTGCTTCTAGAACACTTTTAAATACAACAGAAAAAAAAATGCAATATGTTTAAAAAAATTTTTTTTTAGTTTTCTTAAGCTAACATATTAACTTTTAGTAATAACATTTTCAGCTTTAAAACTTTCCATTTTCTTTATTGTGTTTGCTAATGATGCATCAGAATCAAACAGCTTCTGAATACTGCAATGTAATAGTACTGACAGTTAAGAGTGTGTTTTGTATTATTACATTTCAGCATCAGGACTAGGGGAAAAAACTAGAAATGGCTGTGGAGGAGCTTCAGTCCATAATAAAGAGATGTGTAAGTAATTTTTTCTTTTTAATTACATTTCAGGTCACTCAGATTGTTTATCTTTTTTAATCTTTGCTTTTTTTCAACTGTGAATAAATAACATGAGGGCAGGAAGGCAGACTGGATTATTTCTCCAAGTGACATACTTATCTAAACAACCTTTTTAATTTTAATACTGATCCTGTTCATAGATTTCTTTGATAAAGTAGATTTCAGTATCATTCATTACAAATATTTATTAGGGTCATCCTAATTTTCGTATTGTATTTATGTGTAACTTACCTAGAATTCAAACAGATTTCTCTTTTTTCACAGAAATAAATCAAGTAGTTTTTGTATTGAACTTTTATTTGTGTATGTGTTTTTTTTTGCCAGCAAATCCTAGAAGAACAAGACTTTAAAGAAGAAGATTTTGGCCTATTTCAGTTAGCAGGCCAAAGGTGCATAGATGAAGGGCATATAGACCAGCTATTAGAAATTATTCAAAATGAAAAAAATAAGGTAAGTGCTATCTTTGTGTGTACTTTTCATTTTTACTGGGAAGAGAAAACTACATGATGCTATTATTCATCTATTCATTTATCTATCAAACATCTAAGTATCAATTAGGAACAAAGTATAGTAGAAACTGTGAAAGACAAAAAAGAATTAGACTTACTCATATGTTTTAAGGTGCTCGTAGTCTGGTAGAAGAGAGAAATAGGTAAACTACTATCAATAAAGAGGCAGAATAAATGAAATAAGTGCTGTAGTGGAAGTAGAAGTAAACCTCTTTAGTAGGAACAGGGATTACTTATGATTTAGAGGATCCAAGAATGGCATTTAAATCATTAATTTACATAATATACACCTCACGCAGGTTAGATACTCATTTTTGGTGACCAGCAAATTATCTTGATTGATGGAAAACCAAATTTTAAGCAAAGCAATATTTTGTATATGTATGTAGAACCTGAAGAAGCCCTGATGGTGCCTGGTGGCACAGTGGTGAGGGCTCAACTGCTAACTAAAAGGTTGGTTCAAACTTACCAGCTGCTCCAAGGGAGAAAGATGCGGCAGTCTGCTTCCGTAAAGATTACAGCTTTGGAAACCCTATAAGACAGTTCTGCTCTGTCCTGTAGGGTCACTGTAAGTCAGAATCATCTTGTCAGCAACGAGTTTGACATAAAATATCATCTAGCTATGATAGTCTGAGAAATCATTCTTTACAGTGGAAATGGGTCTTGTTTGTGGATCAGGGACAACTTTTTCCTGGGACACAGTGTTAGAGACATACTGCCAAATTTTGTGTCTTCGGACTGCCCTTCTTATGAATGCAAGGTCACTGGGGGGTGCAAATGGATTGTGCTTGACAGCTAACCTGAAGGTTGGCAGTTTGAACCCACCCAGAGGTACTGCAGGAGAAAGGCCTGGTGATCTGCTTCTATAAAGATTACAGCCAAGAAGATCCTATGTAACAGTTATACTCTGTAACACATGGGGTCACCATGATTGTAATTGACTCAATGGCAATGGGCCTGGGATGTTTTAGTTGTTCTTATGAGTGCAAGGAAGACTATCTATTTTCCTAAGAATGTGCTCTTGTTTTCATTTATAATACTATTTATTTATACAAAAGTTTTCTTTGTTGATATCACAGTCTAGTCATGCTAGTCTGTAACTATATATATCCACGACACCTTGATTGAATTTGGGGGGCCTCTTAAAGCTTTGTAATCACATATTGTAGAATTTCTTAATCAGCAATTCAAAGGGCTTATCCCTTAATTTTTTCTTTTTTTAGCAAAAATAGGACATTTTATTTAATATATTTGTTTTTGATCTGTATGTATGGTACCTTTGTAGCCCCAACTAAAGTAAATTTTGTGTTTTTTTTACACTTCTTGGTTTCATTTATTGAGTATTTACTATGTGCCAGTCAGAATCAACTCGGCAGCAATGGATTTAAATGCCTTTTTAAGTGCTCTGCATCTGTCAACTCATTAGCTTCTCCAGAGTCTAAATTTGCTTTGTAGGTAAGGAAATGGAATCCCTGTGCAGCCTGGTGTCAGAGCTGTTAACCACTTTGTTCTACTCAGGTTAGCACCATGTAAGCACTTGGCATGAATGTTTTGCGTAGAATAAAGGGGACCAATTGATTGTGGGAGTGAGAGAGGGTAAGGTGTCAAAGACGTCTGGGTTTCTAGCCTCTGAGAGGATAATACATGATATCCTGAACAGAAAAAGGCAACCCAAGGAGAGGAAAAGATTTTCTGAAAGGAGACAAGTGATTTTACTTTTGGGAGTCTTGAATTTAAAGTGCAGCAGGTACTTGGAAAGTACGGTTTGGAGTTCAGTAGAGAAATAGATTTAGATGTAGTAGATTTGTGAGTAACTATTAGAGATTAGGAGCCCTGGTGGTGAAGTGGTTAAGAGTTCAGGCTGCTAACCAAAAGGTCGGCAGTTGGAATCCACCAGCTGCTCCTTGGAAACCCGATGGGGCAGTTCTGCTCTGTCCTGTAGGGTCGCTGTGAGTTGGAATCGACTTGACAGCGCACAACAGCAACAATTAGAGATTAGGTCAACTGGTGGTGCAAGTGGTTTACTCTCAGCTACTAACCAAAAGTGGCTCACATCCCCCCAGTGGCACTGTGGAGGAAATGCCTAGTGATCTGCTTCTGCAAGATTACAGCCAAGAAATCTTTAGAGTGTAGGTCCACTCTGAAGCACGTGTGGTGGTCATGAATCAGAATTGGCTTGACAGCAATGGGTTTGGTTTGCTGGTGGTGGTGTTGCCGTCGAGTTGATTCTGACTGATGGCAACCCTATGTATACAGAGTAGAACTGCTCCATAGGGTTTTCAAGGCCATGTGACCTTTCAGAAGCAGATCACCAGGCCAGTCTTCCGAGGTGCCTCTGGTGGGTTCAAGCCACCAACCTTATGGCTAGTAGTTGAGTGCTTAACCGTTTGCATCACCCAGGGACTCTAGGGTTTGGTATTAGAGATTAAGTAATTGAAGGATGTAGGGGGCGGGGAGAATTTGCCTGAGTTCACAGAAAAGGGCGGAAGAGAAGCCCAGGAATCCCTTATTTAAGGAGCAGGTAGAGAGGAAGAGGCCTGCCGTGAAGATAAGGGTCAGTATGGCATCAGTGAGGCAGAGGGAGAAGGGAAGTGAAACTAAATTGTTCTTTAGGTATTACATGCCTGAGTGTTTTATTTTTAGCATGCTTCTAAATAGCTAATGCCACAGATTTAAGCACAGTGTGGCTTAGTCTTAATAGCTTGAGAATCACTTTTATAATGTATGTTCTGCTAAATGTAAAGGTTCACATATTGATAAGACAATGTTTAAAACTGACTGCAACTTGGTTTTCTTGCCAGGTGACACTATCTTAATCAAGATTTACTATTGCTCTGCTTTGTGTGCAACATTAAAAACAAAACAAAGCCTTAGGGCATATGAATAGTAGTTTGTCCCAAGGCACTATGGTGCAGGGTTTCTCAACCTTGGCACTATTGATACTTTGAAGAGGATAATTCATTGTTGTGGGGGGCTGTTTTACGCATTGTAAGGTATTTAGCAGCAGCCCTGGTTTTTACCTGCTAGATGCCGGTAGCACTCCCCACCCCCAGTCATGACAATTAAAAATGTCTCTAGACATTGCCAAATGTCCCCTGGAGCAGAGGCAAAATCACCCCTGGTGGAGAACCACTGTTATAGTGGAAAGCTCGAGCTTTGGAGCTGGATAGACTTACATGCGAATCCTGGTTCTGCCTCATTTTTGTTGTTGGACATTGGCATGTCATTAATCACTAAGCTTTGGCTGTAAATTGGGGATAATAGTCTTCCCCCATAGGGTTGTTAGTGTTAAATAGGGTTGCTTGTGGGTAGTCAGGAAGTGTTTAATCCTCTTCCTCATAACTATTTACCACCCTCCTTTCCTCTAAACTAAA